TCGCATCCTTAAAGCCTCTCTGAGTCTGCCTTAAGTGAAGTGTCGTGTGAATGATCACCTGTCACTGAAGACCGCCGAGTGCCCAAAGCGGTTGACGTCATGGTAGAGGTCCGGTCGAGGCAGCACGGTCCACTCGTCACACGCTGCAAAGAGAAGAAGACACCCAGAGGTCACGCTGCTGACCCCACATATTAAATCACACATGTCTTCAGCGGGTGCAGATTCAGCTGACATGCCACGGGTGGTTAGCGAGACCTTTGACAGCTCATAACCTCGTGTCAATCAATGAGACGGTCAGCTGTGTCCTTGACCGAGGCGCTGGGAGCCTGACGAATATGGGAGAGACAATCAAATGTACCCAGACATGGCTGTCCCTGCAACCCTTTTAGTCCCCTGACCCCTTAAAATAAAGTCACAAGGTCTCCATGTGGACACAATGTGCATCATAAACTTGTCTGGCAAAGACAAAGAGAGGTTTCTTCTTCTTCTTCGCCTTGTGCTTTAAAACAATTGCAATGAGGGGTCTGCAAGCTGAGCTGCACAAACTGATGTTAGCAGAGATTTTAGGATTCGTCCAGGAAATCAAGAAAATAAAAGCCTGTTAAAAGAGCCGAGTTAAAAGAGCCGAGCTGCCACAAGCTCGACTCTCTTCTATTATTCAGATGTCCCCTGACGTTATTCATCCATGTCGTTACATAATCATGTCAACTAATTTGTGATTGGCTTTAACATGTTTTCCTGCCCCTGACATAAAAACAATCCCAGCTCAGTGAAAACCTTCCTGGATTGTCTCGAGGACATCAAAAGCCTGGGTGTCCTATTTTCTGTTAAATTTCCATCAAAGTGAGACTGAAACCAAAGAGTCTACAGAGCTGCCTGTGATGTTTCTTTGATGGATCTGGGCTTTTCTGCGAATACACGTCAAACCCCTCGATCACCAGCCTGAGGTTAATGATGTTAAGTTAGATCCATCTGGAAAGTTAAATCTGTGTACGCTTATTTACTTTATCAAAATACACTGGAGATGAGTTTAAAGCTCCTGTGAGGGTTTTTTTTTTCATTCATTAAACAGACTAAAATTTATCAAGATATTTTTGCATGCTTTACAAAAGCAAATCAAACCATCAATGACAAGATTTATGTTTTTTATACTGTGATTTTTAATGCCTGAAACCAGTGTGAGGGGGTAGGTGTCAGCCAAGGTTTGACTGTCAACAGTCAGCAGGGTCAGATTTGTTTGGCTGAGGATCCTATCTAAGCACGTAGTTCTTCAAAGTTCCTCACAGGAGCTTTAAATAAACTCTGAAGCCATCCCTGCACCTGCTGGGTAATCTGAGGTAGGGCTGGGCGATACGGCCTCAAATCAATATCACGATATATTGATCATTTCACCTCGATAACGATAAATGGACGATAACTACTCCACAAGCTGCTCACCCCCTCCCACATTAACTTTGTCTATTTCAGCTGCTACAACTTTTGAACCGTCCTCCATCTCCTCACCTGTCTTTACCTCTTTGTTACAGACTGGATGGGGTGGAGTCACGTCTCTGACGTAGGACAGTGTCTCTAAGGGACATGAGACCATAGCCTACCTACACACATCCAAAACCAACTTTGATTTATTTATTAATTTGACACAGAATTTACTGACATAGGCAAAATGACGTTGGTTATTGTTGTAAATTTCTGTATCAGTAAATTTTCGGTTTATGGCCCAGCCTTAATCTGAGGCGTTAGTGTTTAACATTATGCAGAAATGAGGTGCAAAACTTAACTTTATAGGAGTTACTTGTGCATTATGGACCTAATTATCCAATTGCTCTGCAGGTGGAGGAGCATGCATGCATGTTGTTTATACAAATGATGCAAAAACAGATGAGGTGAATTCTCCTCGTCTGCAGAGAACCGTTAGCCTCACTAACCTGCTGGTTCTTCACACAGCTTCTCATTAAAGGGGCAGAACTATCCTGCATCCATACAACTCAAACAACCTTACTTTTAAAATACTGAAATGTCCCTTTAATGGTAGGATTTAGTCGTTAAATTGTCTGTGACGGGGCAGTTTTTGTGCAACAATGTCACATGTAACAACACTCGGCTCGGCCTCAACCGAGACCTCCAGCAGCCTTGACCTCTAAATCATACATGAACGCTTCCTGGCTGCAGGAGTGAAAGAACGCCGTGATGGATTCCTCTATTGTTGTTTTCAAATGAAGCAGCAGCAGCAGCAGCATCAGCGGTGGTGTTTGACGGAGTACAGCCCGTCACACGTCTGCACAAACAAAGAAGCAAACAAAAAGAGCCGCCATGTGAGCCTGAAAGTCGAAGCTGCTGGAGCACGCCACACTGACTGCAGTACATCACCTTCACTCAGCACAATGCAGTGCAAGTCATCATGCGCTCCCAGAGGAGAGGGTGACATATGAGAGAGGCGAACGCATCCACGGGTAGACACTGCCCTCTGGTGGCGAGCGCTGAGGCTGCAGCCGCTGTGGTGCATTGCTGCTCAAAGTGAGGATTCATGGTGACACTGTACACCGGTGTCAGGACAGCGGACAGCCTTTAAATTCAGCTCTCTAATTGAGTTCAGCTTGTTAAGGGGGGCGATTAGTCCACAAGAGGAGCTCATCTCAGCTGTAATTACCAGACAATTACAAAGCCGCCGCTGCTGCCGACGGCGACCCTGCAGCTGGCCGGGTGTAGTGGTGGGTGGGGTGTGAGGAAAAACAGTCCACTAGCCTTTTTTTCTGTCTAATTACAAACTCACACAGAGGACGATGAGTGGCGGGGAGGAGAGAGAGAGAGAGAGAGGTCGCAGAGACGGCGTGAAGTTTTTAATTTCTAAAGTTTGACTCAAAAGCAAACTCTCGGGGGAAATTATGAAAACAATATGTTTCCAGCTGTGACCAGATGAGTCTCTTCTCATTATGCCAATCAAGAGAGCGAACGCATGTGGTACCTTCGATATATAAACAAGAGGCTGCGCTCTAAATCTAATTAAAGCGGCGCTTCTGCATGTTCTGCTGCAGCCGCCAACATCCACCACTCCCATGAAACAATGGCTTCTGTTTCCAGCTGCACGCTGGAGGAGAGGGGGACGCTCTCGCCCCCTCTCCTGCAGGAGTAATTCCTCCACCCGTCAATCATCCTGGTAATGACACAGAAAAACTGAATGTCCTGAGGTGGATTCGCGGCCTGCGGGGAATTCTTCCTCCCGCCCTCACAGACCGAATCCTCCCATTAATGAGCGGTTTATGGCGGCGCTGCAGAAAGAGGGGCCGACTCAATTTACAGCAGTGTTTGAAGGTGGCTTACATAATGAGGGTGCGAGTTTGGGCTCTAACAAAGCAGTGTGAACCCCCTTAAGGACAGATTACAGGATTTTTAGATGATAACACAGAGGATATAGAAAAACAATCGGGGCTGCTTTTGTGAGTCCACCGAACACGCTGTGAACGGAGCCCTGAGGTACCAAGAGGCTGGGTTCAAAGTGAGCAAATAGATGTTTAAACGTCGAGAAGATGATTTTCAAAACGAGTGTATGGTCTAATTCACTCGTTTGACGTCCTCCTAAATCCAGCACAGTGTTCATTTTTTAAACTATGATCTTATTAGGGCTGAAACGATTACTCGAGTAACTCGAGTAACTCGATTAATAAAATTCCTCGAGGCAAATTATATGCCTCGAGGAATCGTTTAAATCCGGAACCATGTGCAGCGCACGGTGTTTGACACGGACGGTTATTTCTGTTGCGCAGAAGCGTGCTCTTTCCGCTCCTTCCGCTGCCGCGCGTTTGGTTCAATCATGGAGGGAAACGAGGACAGACAGAAGCTGTGTCCGAAATGACATACTGCCTGCTATCTACTTACCTACTTAAGCAGTAGCTACTGCCTACTGACTACTCAAAGATGATTTGAGTATGCCGCGGCTGCCCGAGCGTTTACACACATACATACTAAATACCCCAGAATGCATTTCGTGCCGGCCGGACGCAGCGCCGGGAAAATTTAAATAGTCCTACCACAAGCTACATAGAACGACTGCATACCGGACAAATTATATAAATTCATTCAATAATAATATTTTTTCTAGCGAGAAAGTAAGTGTTTACATCACGATTACGAGCCCAGTTGTTTGAAATAGTGGCTGTTTGTAAATTTGTCTCGGCGTTTTCGGAGACCGAAGCGTCCACTTGGTCGGTGTTTGCGTCTATTTACCGTAAACACCGGGCAGCAGCAGCTCCCCCTTCACGTTTCCAAATTATTGCGAAGTGTTTTCATAATCAACATCTACACGACACAAACCGGGCGGCAGTGGATGAAAAAAATCACACAAACATCCGTGTATCCATGGTGATAATGCTATACACCACCTGCTAGGCGTGTGATGAGCAGCAGAGGGCTGCAAAATGACCAACACACAACAACATGTAAATAAAAATGTAACACTTTTATATATTGAATAAATGTACATTTGCTTGTCAAATTATGTTAGTATCCAAGAATTATATTATTTCAGCCTATTAATTAAACAAGTAAAATTAGATCCAAAGCCTGGAAATAGTTGTGACTGGTTTAGTGAAAACTGCAAAGATCATTACCATAGCAATTAAAAGACCATCTGCAGACCTTGCCTTCTGTAGTTTCATGTGAACTACATGGTAAAATGTAAAACTTTTGGTTCCTGATTTATGCAGTAAAAATATTCATTTGAAAGACCTGGCCTATTTCAGTTTTGTGTGTTACTGATGGTTTTTAATGAGGCAAACGTGATTCAATGCAAAGTATTACAGTGAGAGCAAAACATTTCTTATCCGATTACTCGATTAATCGACAGATTAATCGATAGAGTACTCGATTACTAAAATAATCGATAGCTGCAGCCCTAGATCTTATAGAGCAAAAATAGAGGATTTGAGTGTTTGATTGATTCACTATTTAACGTCTGTGTTCGATTTACTCGTTAGTAAAAGAAGTGTCTTTTTCATAATGTTGGGTACGGTGGCCCTGAGCTGCAAAACACAACAGCAAATCAGAAAACACAACAACATTAACCATTGTGTTTTCTGATTTGCTATTGTGTTTTGCACCTCAGGGTCACCGTAGTTGGGTGTAATTATTCACTGGGAGGTTAACATGCTGGAATAATCTGCGGCTGCTCTGACCAGCTCTTTGAAAGGACAAACTTCTTAAAAGGACATCTTCACCTGCACTTTGTCAAACTTTACTGATCTAATTTGAGGTCCAAACATACCGTTAATCCTCATAATTTATGTTTTTGGATAAACGGATACAGGTTTTACTCGATGACAAGAACTTTGTAGTATTGCAACAGGGGAAGAGGCCTCCAGAGCGCGTTTTTTTATTAAACAGGAGCTGAAATGAGACACTCATCTGCTATAAACAGATACTTAACAAACAATATGGTCTTGAAATCTGCATTATTTCCTCATTTTAAACTAATAATCAATATTTTTATTCATGTTTGATTAGAAGTGCCAACAGTGTAGAAACTAAAAGGGGAGGATGCGGCAGTTTCCAAACTAGCCCGGTGTTCTGGTTCAATGTGTGACCCTGTAAACTGGTGACTTTCAGTTGACTCATTTTAGCGCACACGAGTTTAGACTGAAACACCTAAAAAATAAACAAAAACAGACGCATTTTAGCTTTATTCATGTTTCCGCACCTCTCAGTCCTCTGAAGTCTCAATCTTTTGTGCGTCCAGAAAAGAGAGATGGCTCCCTCCTTGAACAACCAGACTGACATCTTTTAAAGAGACTCTCCTCAAAGTTAAACTCCTCATGAATGAACCTCTCTTCCTTCGCCGTGAACCAAACAAACGCGGGGTTAAGTATCCTGATTAAAGGCTCCTCACAGACTTGAAATGACGCCCTGCTTACATTATGAAACTCGGATCACTTCGCGTTTGCCGCCACCTCGAAACCCCTGCAGAAGGATCATCCGCTCGAGGGGATGCTCTTTTTTTGGGGGGTTGTTTTTCTGTTTGTTTCAGGATTCGGGTTTAGAGGACAACAGAGAGCTCTGGGGAGAACTCAGAGAGCTTTTAGCATTTGTTATAGTCAGGAATCAGACAGGCCGCCTCACACAGAGGACTTCTATCTCTGACTCAAATCAAAGCTGATTTACTGGAGTTTCAACTCTGCATGAATGAAATCATGAAATCACTTCCTCGATCCAGAAAAAAACTAACAAATGCATTTATACACCACGTTTAAATCCCCCGCGCTGCTGCAGAACCTCGGACTCCATCATCCCAAGTGTTCGGTATAAAATAAAGAGAAGAGGAGAGGAGCTGTGACATCTGACCTTCTTTTAGTCCGCTGGAGTCGCTCTGTCCTACAACAAAAACACTGCAGTTGTACTGAGCAGCTCCCAGGTGTTAGTCTGAGCCGCTGTGTGAATGCAAAGCAGCTCAGTGCAGAAAAAAACATGAAATATGAGGCAGAAAAACTCAAGCTGAGGCTGAGAGAGCAGACTGCAGGAGCTGCTGTTGTTGTTGTTATACTCTGGTGATGTGTGTGTGTGTTTGTGTGTGAGACTGACCCAGACTGTAGGCCAGGAAGTCGGAGGAGAAACACTTGGCGCCGTGGCTCATGGATGTGTCGTTGTGTGTGTTTCCTCCAAACACCAGCATCATCCCGCTGACGATCTCGGCCGTGTGAAGGTAGCGGAAGAAGCCGCTGTCTCTCAGGATGGTCCTGCACAAACACAGAGCGACACTTGTTACTAACTGAGGTGTTACTAACACAGGTGGCAAAAAGAAAAAAAAGGACTCATGTCTGTCCTCCCCTCTCACTGCTGCTGCTGCAACTCTTATTATGATTAAAGCCGGTCTTTAAAATGGTCTGCAGAGAGTCAAATGAACAAAACGACATTTTTCAAAGAAACAGAATTAATAAAGGTTTCGTACAGATTAAAAATAAAGATTGAGTTAACTTGTGAAACTGATCCAAAGATTTTATTTTGACTGTTTTGACCTCAAATTTATCACCTCATTGCAAACATTGATGAACTCATTAAGGCTGTCATTATGTTATCTTTAAATTTAAACAGAGTTTCACAAAGTTACAAAAATACAAATTTACGAAGCAACCTTGAATTTTGACTCCTTCACAGAAAAACTGATTTTATTCTGAAAAATTTTCTGTTTCCAATCAAAAACTCAAACAGTGTGTTACAAATTAGATAAGTTAAAAATTAAAGATAAAAATTAAAGAAGCCTAAATTTTAGAAATGAATGATATTTAATTAGATTCATCATAGAGAACGTGAAGTTTCTGCTCTTATTGTGACGGTCTATTTATTTAAAAGTAGACGTTAAACTAGAGAAGCAATATTAATTTAAGATACAGCGCTCAGCATAAATGAGTACACCCCTTCAGAGTTGTCAGAAGACCTTTAGTTTCCTTTCAAAATCAACAGTTTCTATGTCAGACTTTACAACTAAATACTCCCCCAAATGTTGGTTATTGATTACAAACAAGATTTTTTAAGTTTGATACAATAAAGTATTTTTTCAATTAAAAATCAGAATGCAAAAATGAGTACACCCTGATCAAAGTTCTGGGAGCAAAGCTAAATTTTAATAACCATATCACCCTTATTTTTATTTTATGGTGAATAAAATGTTATGTTAAACTTCAGCTTTGTCAAAACTCTGGAAATTGTACTTTTGCTCATCTAGATTTTGAGTAACACATTAATTTAATAGGGGGTGTACTGACTTATGCTGGTCACTGTATCTCCTTAAACTCAGACAGTCAGACAGTCAGAATGCATTTCATTTATATAGTACATTCACTTTTTGGTAAATTTCATATCTGCAGATATGAATATTTCACTTTTAAAGCCGTTATCTGCAGATTTCTGTGTAATGCCGATGAAAATGTGCACATTCAAACTCAGCCTTTGTGTTTTTGTCTCAGCAAATATTACAACATGTCATACCAGTGCCCCAACTGAATAAATAATTGAGTTATTTTGGCATCTTTCCCAGTTTGAGACAATAGAAATGCTGCAAACATGTCGGCTCAGTAAAGACGCAGCTTTGCCTTCTCTCTCTCTCTCTCTCTCTCTCTCTCTCTCTCTCTCTCTCTCTCTCTCTCTCTCACTCTCTCTCTCTCTCTCTCTCTCTCTCTCTCTCTCTCTCTCTCTCTCTCTCTCTCTCTCTCTCTCTCTCTCTCTCTCTCTCTCTCTCTCTCTCTCTCTCTCTCTCTCTCTCTCTCTCTCTCTCTCTCTCTCTCTCTCTCTCTCTCTCTCTCTCTCTCTCTCTCTCTCTCTCCCTCTCTCCCTCTCTCCCTCTCTCTCTCTCTCCCTCTCTCTCTCTCTCTCTCAACAGTGAACCTCACCATCTCCTCTTGTCCACGTCGAACTTGTACAGATCCCCGGCCAGGCCGTACTTGTTGGCGCTGAAGGCCTTGTAGCCTCCGTGGATGTAGATGGCTCTAGTGCCGGGGTCGAACACGCTGCTGTGGCCGTATCCGCCCTGGACCAGCGCGCCCTCTGTGTTCACCAGACTCCACGTGTTCAAGCCTGCGAGGGTCGCACAAACAACATAGACTGAGCAGCTTTTAAAGAGACTCAGCCGTGATCATAACAGCGTGATAAAAATATGAAAAAAGGTGTTTCTGTGGAGGATCTGGTCCCTGCGGGGACAGTCGGGGTAATAACAGCAGCACTGAGTCTTCACAGCGGTTTAATCTTTGAGTTTCCTCAAGCTGCCGTCAGACTTTATTGGTGATCATCCAGAAAATGAAATCATCAAAATCACTCTGAATTGTCTGCGAATGGAAAAACACATTGGTGTTGATCGGCCGTAGTGGCGGGTTAATTCCTCCTATTTTCTCACACAGATCGGCTCTTACAAGACAATGGGGCCTCCAAATGAAGTCTGGCTGCCCGCCAATGAGGTTGGCGTTTTCAATAAACACACCATGGAGTCCAAAACTCATTATCTTGGTGGCCGGTGTTCATTTCCTGTTGTTTTAAACTGATATATTTAGGCACTTAGACTCCGGCGGAGTCAGGAGTTAAAACAAGGGAGCAGCTAAAGGTCTAATAGAGGGTCTAAAGACCGTGGACCTCCTCCAACTGGACTCACCGATGTTGTACTCCTGGACTTGGCTGATGTAGCCGTACAGAGGACAGTGACCGAACAGAACAAGCATGATGGGGTGGTCTCCTTTCTGGAGAGGGGGGACGATGTGAGCCGAGTGTCCCACCACGGCGTAGTGATCGTTGGCGCGGGGGCTCAGGAGGACCCAGGTCTGGTTTTGGATGTGGAACACCCAGAGCTGGCTGGACACGTTTCCAGTGGAGTCAATCTTTCCTCCGTACATGTAGATCTTCCCCTGGAGCAAACACAAACACACACAAACACATATATGACAGATTATCAGACTCATGAAGAGTGAAACTGAGTATGGAGGGTTAGTCCACATCCTCCATCAGGACTGGGTCACCATCTGTGCCTCAGTAAGACGGATCCAGAGTCCGGCTTTGTTACCTTCATGGTAATCATCAACTGCTATTATGATAAGACGCCAAAAACCCAAGAGAAGAAGAAACACCCTGAGCATCAGTAACCCTGAATCACTTCTGAATAAAAACTTTGGTTTATTTTTATTCCCTGGACCTTTTTCTCCTCCTGAAGTGATTTCCCTAAAGAAGGACCTGAAGAAGAAGAAGAAGAAGAAGGTCTGCGCGGAGGTCAGACAGAATTACTGATATTAAAAGTCGGTCTTTGTATTTGTTTGAAATGGGTAAACTATATAATAAAACTCTATAACAAAGAGATATAAAAGAACTTATCTGACGGTAACTGGTCGACTTATTGGTCGATACAAGCTGAGTCGACCAAGATTCTGATTGGTCAACTCGATTTTTTCCGTGTCAATTTACAGTCTATGGTTCATTTCATTAGGAGGAACGTACCAAGTGCTAATGGGGGTGTTTTCAGAGCACCCCTGTTTCACAAGTAACCGCCTGTCTCAGAACAGCCCCCTTATTTTCACCATTTTGGATTTGCCCAACCCACTAGAGACCGACTGGAGACGAGAAGATTAAAGAGCGTCCACGTTAATC